ACTGTGTGGTCTTGTGGGTCCTTCTCCTACCCTTTGCTGATGCTTTTTGCCCCTTATCCACGGATAAAATGCCAAAGTTTCTCATTTCTCTTTTATCAACAACCTGTACCTTGGTCTAGCACATCTAGCATCACCATGTTCCTCTCAACAAAGGGCTGCACAGTCTACATTCTGAGCACTTTCTTGAACACTAGCTTGATTTTCCAACTGCTCAATAGACACTTTTGCTTAGACATTCCACCAGCACTACAAAGGCACTCAAGCCAAAAACAGTGCCCTCTCCTTCAGCCTCCTCTTAATGTAGTCTCTCAAAGCCTTGAGGTCATCATCTTTTCCTCTTACAGCTCTCAGGTCCTTGTAACTTCAAGAATTCTACATTCGCCTTCTTTCCTGATTCAGTTCTAATTTGAGGTCTAACTCTCACTTAACTATAAAAATCATTTTTTAACCATTCCTTAGCCTCATTTTAGTCTCCTTCCTCATCTTAGTTTCTATCTTGCCCTACTTTATCCTATACATTATTGCCAGGTAAATGTTAAGGCAGAGCTCCAGTTAAAGTCTTTTCAGATTCAGAAACTCCATCTGCAGCCAATTTATTATACACTACTTCCCACCTTGTATTAGGGCTATTGTATATTCAGGTCTTCTATCCCTGAGCAGACTGTAGGCGCCATTAAGAAAGGGTGTATGCTTGGTAAACCATCTCAAGCAGCACCCAGCATAGTGCTTTCCACAACACAGGGATGTAATTAATATTCATTCAGGGAAATGTACAATGAATGGCTACTCTACCATTAGTCTCTCTTTACACATAATGCAGGTATGTCCCCCTTCTGTACTTTCCACTAATTAAAACTTTATTCAGTCACTGATCAAATGGTGCATTGCCATTATAAGGAGATAAAAAACAGCAGGAGCAAAGTTACCTCTTGGGAAAGAACGGGGAATATGACGAGGGGAAATACAAGTTATTTATTGCTTTAAATGAAGTGGTGGATAAGTACCATTCTTCTTTACATTTTTTTCATTCTCTACAACTGTTTCAAAGTCCGAAGGAATAATCAAAAACCTAAGATGTTAATACTTAAACATATATCTAAAAAAGACCTCCTCCCAATAAGGTAGTTTTGTACTTAATCATTCTGCAGTTTCATATGTGTTAGTTTAACTTGCCAACCAAACTGCCATAAAAAAAAGTTTCATCATATTTTGAGATTTATCTTCACAGAGCAATGACTCATAAGACTAAAAGTTTCTCACCCCTCCCCATCAACACTTGCTCAAGTAGCTAATGACAGCTTGAAACAAACCTAAATGGATTATGGTTTCCCCTAATTCTAAGAAACATAGCTGTGAATCCTATTATAATGTAATAATAGTCTCCAATTTATGTTTTTTTTTTTAATTTTCCTTTAAGGCTGAGGTATTATTTTGTGAATGATAGTTTCCCCTAAACATTATGTTGCATTAGCAACAGGTGGCTTATTTGTGGAAAACTTCTTCTCTGTGACACACAGCTTATTAGGACCATCTTATAGGGAAAATGGGATTGCACTTTGTTGGGGATTGCATTCTCCTTGAGGACCTCATGAAGTCACTCTTTTTGTCAGAGTATAAAATGTTATTTTTCAAAAATGATTTAAAATTCTGAACAAAGTAGAGTATCTTTCCCTGAAGATGTTTTCTAGGTGAATGTAAACTTTAATAAACAGGTTCCAGCTCACAATAAAAATGTTCATCTGCCCATATTATAACCCATTTCCCAGATGGTTACTATGCAAACTGCTTATAAATTAATGAGCAAATGGCTTTGTTTAACTTTGATTAAAATTTCAAACACAGAGTTAACACTAGACTTTCTGGAGCTACCTGACATAAAGCAAGGCAGTTTAATTTGAGAAGGATATTTCAACCATTAAGGAGTATCTTGCTATTTTACAAATCTATGTGAAATTTCACAAGAAGCTGTTTTCAATATTTGTCAGTCTAGTGAATACTGAAATGGTATTATTGACAGCACCCAGAAAAAAGTGTCTTAGAGACTTAAAAATGCCCAAAGGAAATATGGAAATCATAAGCCAGAATTTTAAATTAAAACTTCACTGATGATGCCAATATTAAATCTCAGACATTAGAGTTTGTCCACCGTGCATCTTACATGCTTGGGTTAATATCAAACTGAATTACTTTAAGTTTGCTCTTGTCTCCTCTTTAGGTTCAATGACCTGGACACAAAATTTACACTTTAATATGGCAAACTTAATTAACCCCATTGAAATTTAAAGATCCCGTGGGAATTACAAAACACACCATCCCTTACTAATTGTCACACTTAATTTTGTTAGTCAACTACCTCCCCATCAACCAACAGTTCTGCTGGGGCTTCCACCATCACAGCTATCCACACATGATGGGCAGTGTGCCCACAAACCCTAACTACATCCCTTTCCCAGATACCTACAAAAGGAAAAATGATTCCTAATTCTATATGCAATGGAAACTTCTGGTCCATATTCACAGGCGTGTCATTTCAGTCCCCACTGGAGACTGATGATGCTGCATACAAGAGCATGGGTCTGGGGAGTGAGTCCACGAGCAAACTGCAGCCTCCTCCAGCAGTATCAATCACTGTGCTTGAATTGAGGTCACATGGCAGTCAAGCATAAGGAAGCCTCTACGCCCTTCCCCCTCCCAAGAAAGGCAGCCAATTTTGCATTTGGGTAAGGGGAAAAAAGCTGACAATGGGACCGATTTATTTTTATTGTTTCTTTGCACAATAAAATCCTGATTTTCTCCCCCACCCTTACACCTCAGGGGAGTCTTCAACTGCTAGAGATGTCCTCAAAGATGCTCCCAGCTAGGGAGAAAGGTTACATCATGGAGTCTAGGCCAGCTAAAATGCCAGGGGCATAACCCACCAGGACTTCAAAAGCACTGGGAGTGAGGGTGAGGGCAGACTTATTCTGAAACGGGCAACTTGGGAAATTCAATAATTGATATTCACAGTTCAGACAAAAAGGTTATTTTCCCTTTGACACCCAGAATAGAAATGAGAGAACTGCTGGACACAATGACAACCTGTCCACATGAATTCACAACTAAGGGGGTCCTAACCATTGTAGACTCTCCCCTCTTTACCACTACACACCCAGCACTCTGCCCCTCCTCAACAAACTCCTAGTATAAACCTATTACCTAAATGAAACAATTGAGTGCCTGGACAGGAAGGAAAAGGGTGGAATTAATCATAAGATGCAGGCAACAGCACCTCCTCCCTGCCTAGAACGCCTGCACTTGCTCTCTCCCTGCATCCCGAGCACCTCTTCCTGATGTTCATCTGCCATTCCCTTCTCCTTCCAGGTCAATTTTCATTTCATCTTCATCATCACCCCCACTCCATTATCCTATGTCATCTTACCTCATACCGCCTCCCCTCCATGCAACATCAATAACTCAAAGTACACACGTGGTGGGGAGAGCTAATCCTAACCCTTACCACTCACAAGTAGGGCAAGGAAGATGCCAGTATTCCACCGTGGAAGTATGGGCAAGTCTTCCCAAGGTCTTTTGCAGAACTATTACATAGACTTATGTCCACTTTGGGGGTTAAATAGGCTTTCCACAAAGGTTAAGATTCCTAACCATGTGGGGTTTTTTTTAACCAGAAAATAGGATATAAACTCAAAACACACAAATCAAAAAACAAAAAAGTAGTGAATTCAGGACTCCTCAAAAAGGAACAAACGGGCCTCCCTGGTGGCGCAAGGGGTTAAGCACAGCACTTTGAAGCGATCCACAGCCTCTGCATCACTAGTTCGATCCCCAGCTGGCCAGGGAGCTACCCACATGGTGCAGCAGACCTCTCCTGTCTCACCCGCTGCTCCCCTCAGCAGTGTATTTCGGTCAGTCTGCCTGTTCTGCTCACTGTTCTGTCTCTGGTGAATCCTTTCACCTCCCCCCGCCAGCCCCGCACCGCATCTCTGGCCTGTACCCCAGTTGTTGTATGCATAAATAAATCTTTTTAAAAAAGGAACAAACAGGCAAATTCTTAAATTGTCTTTTAAAAAATGAACTATTAATGCATTTATAAAATGCTGTGAGGGCCTCCCTGGTGAGGGCCTCCCTACAAGGGGTTAAGTTGCAGCACTATGAAGCTATCCACAGCCACTGCAGCACCAGTTTGATCACCAGGCAGGGAGCTGACCCACAAGGCACAGAGACCTTTCCTGTCTCCCCCAGTGCTCCCCTCAGCAGTGTATTTCTGTCAATCTGCCTGTTCTGCTCTCCACTCTGTCTCTGGTGAATCTTCTCACCACCACCCCCACCCCACACCTCTGGGCCTGCACCCCAGTTCTTGTATGCATAAATAAATCTTTTTTTTTTTTAAATGCTTTAAGTTCATAATGTATGTTACACATATTTCCAGATGGGGGTGGGGGTAAGCAAAGCACCCAACATCTTCATGGAAAGGTTTCAGTCAATTTGGATTTTTTTTTTTTTGCCCCTACTAAGATTCCCTAAAGGAAAACTTTTAAAAGCTAAAAAAAAAAAAAAAAGAAAAAAGAAAAAAAGCTTTCAAAGCCACCACACTTTTAAGAAGGTTAGTTATTGCAAGCTTTGTCCAGCTATAGTCTCAGCTTTTCCAAGTCTGTTGTTGAGTATTCTAAAAATGATGGAATGCTAAAAACAGAAAGTCTTAGAAGTAGTCAAATGGCTTGTTTTTCATATCCCCCAATGGCTGGTGGGTCAAAATTGAGAGGAAAAAAGATTCAACCCATAAACAAATGCATATGCACCCACTCACCTATTCCTATACTCTGCATATAAAACAAGAATTCACATTAGCTAAAACAGATCTCTGGAATTGCCCAAGGGAAAAACTGCCCCAATACATTCAGTTTAGCAAAGCATTCCTGCAAGAGGCACTCAAATTTCACTCAAAAATGGAGTGTCATTATGTAAAATCTTTAGTGGGGGGATCATTGAAAACAGATTCTTACCATTCTCACTGGGCTCGGTTGGCTTGGCCCCTTCTCTGAACGGGATTATGACTGCATCTCCAGGCACTCTGGGGCTTTCCACATACTTGGGCTTCCTGACGGGACCTGCAGTGGGAAAGATCTGAGTGTGGCTAATTTTTTCCAGATGCAAACAAAGCTTCAGAATGTACAGCGTGTGTCCTCACCAGGACCCAAATATGCCTAAAGGAAGAGCCGGCCCCTTCCCCTCCCTTGAACACACAGCACAGTCATTTCAGCACAGACTCGGGAATGTCTAGGCTGGGCTGCCAAAGACGACACGGGTAAGCTCTGTTTCTAGAATGTAAACTCTGACAAAAACAAAAGCTGCTCTGTCGCTGTGAAGTCTCTACAGCTGTCTTCGGTGTACGTCAACTAAGTGATTTTGACATGTTCAAACCTGGACAGCTTGTGGTGGAGGATTTTTTTATTTGGAATATTTTTTCTAACTGGGACAAAGACGATTGGGTTGCTTGGTATCTCCAAAGTCAGGAGGGCAAGGATTTCAAACAGCCAACTGCAATATCAGCACGCTCTGAGTGGCCACAGAACTCAAGCATTTTATCAGGCTGGTGACGCACGGCGATCGTGGGGGGCAGAGAAGATGACTACTTTCCTGGCAGAGGACATAGCTGCCTCCAAAAAGACGCAGCAGCCAGTGCGGCAAGTGATTCAAGGACCCAACAAGACAGTCACTGCTCTCACTTCTCCCTCAACCCTGACTATCATCAGACAATCTGGAGTTTTTAATTAGACAGAATGGAATTCTCACCCATGAGGGTGGGAATGCACCAGTGCAGCCTATCTGGAAAACAGTTCCTTGAAAGGTTAAACTGTTATCACATGGCCCAGCAATCCCACTTCTGTGTGAATATATGGCACAAAAATTTGTGTATGAAGGGCCTCCCCTGGTGGCACAGCGGTTGAGCGCTGGGCTGCGAAGCTGCCCACAGCCTCTGCAGCGCCGGTTCGATCCCCGGCCGCTGGCAAGGGTCCCACATGGCACGACAGACCTCTCCTGCCACCCGCTGCTCCCCTCAGCAGTGTACTTCGGTCCTTCTGCCTGCTCTGCTCCCCGCTCTGGCTCTGGTGAATTCTCTCACCCTCCCGCGCTTCTGACTGCACCCAGTGCTTGTATGAATAAATAATCTTTTTTAAAAAATGTGTGTATATATGAAATTACGCATAAGCATGCATGGAATTACATGGCACTATACATACTACCCAAATGTTCATCAACAAATTGTTGAGGACAACAAAATACAATATAGTTACACAATGGAATATTATTGGGCTGCACAAAGGAGTTAAGTACTGAATCATGCTACAACACGGATGAAACCTGAGCATTTTATAAGTAAGAGTCCATCCTCAAGGACTACATATTATGATTCCATTCGTACAGAATTCAGGAGGAGGTAAATCCACAGAACAAAGGAGGAATAGTTGTCAGGGGATGAGGGATATGCAGGCTTATGGGACGATGGCTAAGGGCTCTGGGACATCTTTTTTGGAGTGATAAAAGCTGTTCTAAATTAGGTTGTGGTGATGGTTGTACAATGTTGTGAATATACTAAAAACTGCTGTGCTGTACAATTTAAATGGGTGAGGGTAAGGTATTATATCTAAATTAAGCTGCTTTAAAAAAAAAAAAAGCCTATTTGCCTGCTCCTTTCAAACATCACATTACATTTTGGTTCAGAATCACCCACTTGATTCTCATTTCTTTGGTGGCATTATACTTAAAGAGTCCTTTTAACAAGGCTGCAGAGACAGGGAACATTTCAAACGAGCAAGAGAAACGGGGGAGGCAGCCTGCCAGGCAGGGGCCCATAGCTCTCTTTCTCCCAGTCCTGAGCCACAGCACTGAGCCTCTCAGGGTCTCCGCCCTGCCGCCACACACTGAGGGGTGAGTCAGGTGGTTTCCAAGCATCCTCTGTGTCAAACATCTTATGCATCTCAGAACTTCTATTTGGAATCCAGCTTATGGCAAGACATACTGCCATCTAAAGGCTTAATGCAGAAACATCCACACTGCTATAAAACCAACCCAATTCCCTGGCAGTGTCGTGTGCCTCATCTTAAAAAATAGGCTGTTATCAAGAAATGTTATGGTACTTGACCAAAAGGGATCTCTTTCCAAACTTAAGAAATCATGGTTTTAAAGTGCCTAATCTAGTATTTAATCATATGGTTGCCTTAATAATTTATTTACCCCAGTCAGAAAGGTAATTTTTTAAGGGTAAAATGGAATGGTTACGGGGGGTGGGATAATATGCTCACAAAATAAGTGAAAGATGTAGGCTACACAACAGCATATAAGGAATGATAAAGATTTTATCTAAAACACACACATACACATAAGTATGAATGGGGGGGGCAGACCGGGAAAAGAGGGGAAACTAAAATATTTGCTGTGGAGGAGACAGAAACTAGGAAATAGTGCCCAACTGGGGCAGATAAAAATGGAACCTTTCTAAACTTTTGGTTCCTGACCTAATCTCTGTGGGATAAAAGATCACGGACCTCTTATGCTCCTGCTCTTTTCCATTTAAAGAACTGAGGGAGGTAAAGCCCTTTATTGCTACCATGCGATGGTTCCAAGTCTACCAACTAGCAAGCATACCACTGCCCAAAGATACCTTAAATGTCAGCTCACCTTCGCTCTTTGGGGTCTAGCAACAGCAAATCCAGAGATTTACTTCCAAGCTCCATTCTACCTACCACATACATGCTTCAAAAATATTGTCTAGTAAGTACACTCTTAAAATAGGTGAATGAGCGCACATCCTGTGCATCAGTTACACAGGGGGAATGCATGAGAGTAGGGGGGCAAATAAGTCTGGTTCCCAGGCCTTGGACAGTGAACAGTGATGCTAAATACAAAAGGAGATCTAGAATATACCAAAATAAATAAAACATGTATTCCGTACTCTCTCTCTTAAATACATTAATATGATCCTAATTACTTTGGGGGGAAAACAATATTCCCCCCACCCACTCTTCAGATCAGGAAACTGAAGCTCAAATCAGTTAAGCAATTTGCCACAGCCCACATATGGCAAAACAGGAATTTTAACAGTTCTGTAGCCTGTGCGGTTTTGAAGCCAATGGACTGAACCACAACTTAGCACTTACAAAACCAAGAAATCCAGATGAAGCAAACAATTCTAGATAAGGCCAGGGCAGTGGAACCTTCTACCACCTAATCATCCACAGATCCTGGCTAGGTAAGACAGTAAATCTTCTATTCACACTTACTTGTCACTGATCTCCCTTAACTTTTACTAGGAGTTGAAATATTATGAAGTGACTATAAACAACTGCTCTTCAACATGATCCTTTTATTTAAATTGCTTTGCACAAACAGCTGAACCCCAAACACCATAAAACAAGATAAATGTATAACTATAGAGGTTTTATTCTTTCCCCCTCTCAATAGCTCATTAGAGAATTTGTGTGCATTTTCCATTAAACACAGCAGATGAACACTCGTTTGCCTTCAATCCCTTTCAAAACACCATTAAAGTTGTAGTAAAGGGATTTAAGAGGCCAGTGGGGAGTGGAGACAACCACAGGCAAGAAACCAGACTTCTAAACATGGGAAATAGACGGCCAAGGAGCAGTGGATGGAGCAAAGTCATACCACACAACCTCACAGATACCTTGGGACAGACACCTGTGGGGCCAAAGAAAGGAAGATGGCTGAAATTCCATTTTTCAAAGGGCAAGACAGACCTTGACTCCCACCCGTTTCCAAGACAGGGACCATCGCTCCCTCAAACTGGAGGCTGAGTTTTTCTCTGGAAAGGCTAAGTTCTGAAAACATGGAAACACAGAGCTAAACTCTCGAGTACTAAACTAAAAAACTTAAAAGGAAAAACTCTATGTACATATTGGTAGGTCCCAGATACATTACTCCCCACCCCCCACCAAGTTTGCACACCATGTTAGGAAGAGATGGATGATTCCTCTCTCTAGGGAAACTCAACAAGAGAAAAGACATAGAAATAATCATAAGTGGGGACATAGCCCCAAAGAAACAATGGATTCCTGAACAATCACATTTTCAAGGTAATCCCCAGGTTCTCACCAGCTAGTAAACTACAAGGACACTAATTTCTGTGCCACTGAAATGAAAAACTCCCGCTAAATGAAGTGGCCACATTCCTTGTCAATAGTCATCAATACTGGAAAACCCAGAACCTTCTCACAGTTTTTCGTTTATGAGGAAATACTCAACACTCCCAAAGACAGGCTACCTCAAGGTGAAATAAGCTCCCTCCCTTTATAAAAATGAAATGCTTTAAGGTAACCACTCCTAAGTTAACCAGAATGTAATACCACATTATAAGTACCCAGAAAGCATGGTATGCCAACAAGTAGCTTGTAAGGCAATAGGCTCTGAAAAACAGGACAAGACTGTCCGGTATGAGCTTGAAAAGTGGCTTCTATGGAAGCCAATGTGTTTCCCTGCCACAGCTAACTCACCTTCCAGTCAAACCTGGGCAGCTGACCCATGGCACTGGTACAACACACACAGGTCTTGTTAAAATGCAGATTCTGATGTATCCTTCCTAGGGGAGGCTGTCACTGAGGACCACACTAGTAGGGCATCAAATAGACAGAATATAGCCCACACTAGGGGGCCTTCTAAGGAAGGTCTAAGCAGGCCCAGGGGTGGTTAGACACCAATTTGTTCAGTTTATAAGATTTAAGATAAATGGGGATTGTTCTTGATGATAAATCAATAAACCCACTTCATTGAAGTCTGGATCCCTTTGCTGATGCCATCCCCTCTTCCCCATTGTTTACGGTGTGATCCAAGGAAGGGGGCTCTTCAAGTTACAGATAATAGATTCTGAAGATGGAAAAACAAAACAAAACAAAACAAAACGAAAACAAAACAAAACACAGAACCGCACTCACAAGGCTAAAAGTGCCATAAACTTGCAGATGCCCAAGCTTTCAGCATACAGAGAAGAACTTCTGCCAGCTCCTTGCATTGTACACCAGAGCCTGTGTCCGCCAGGGAGGGGCCACAACCACCCTTCATCACTTCCTTCTGCAAGCTGGAAGGCACACAT